TTTTTTTTTTTTTTTTTTTTTTTTTTAAATTCTCCTTTTCTTTTTAATATTTTAATTATTTTATTTTTTCTTCTTCTTTTTGGACTGAATAAGTACCAAACTTAGTGAAGCAGACAAAACAGAACCAATTCCTTTGTTCCTTCCTTTCTCTCATATGTATCTAATCTAACCTTACACTCCTAGTTTTGGGTCCTTTTGGCCTACCTTCTTCCGAATCTTCTTCTAAATTCTCCGACCATGCTCTACTTCTCATCGCCTCGTGTTCGACCTCCCTCTAGTTCGGTTCGTACTTACCCTAATTCATTATCTTAAGCTTTTGGTCCACTAGTGATTTGACATGGTATCATAGTAGAACTTGTTGTTCCATCCTTATTCATTTCGTATGATATTCTCTTTGTTCATTTCGTATGATATTCTCTTTGTTCATTTCGTATGATATTCTCTTTGTTCATTTCGTATGATATTCTACTTGTGGTGACGTTTTCATAACTTACCCTAAATTCTAATCTATCATCTTCAGCTTCTTGTCTTAAAATACAATATATATAGGTATAAAAAGGGTTGGAGTACAATTTTGTCTTCCTAAATTTTTGGAACAACAAGATCATAAATATACAATTTTGTCTCCATTTCTTGTTCTATCTTTAGTAACAACTCAAATTATATCTTACTTGTTGCTTGGTACTTTTCACTTTTCAAACGGTGTAGCGTCATAATCTAGATATGATCATGTCAAGTTTTAAGGAGAATTCAAATCTCATTATAATTTTTTCACCTCACAGCTTCTAGGTAAGGATCGAAAACAACTCTTTTATTCAGCCATATATGCTGCACATGCATGGCATGTTTACTTGATTACGATGGTAGCCGACTTATTTTTACTCTATGTTAAGTCTTTCAGCTCTGACTCATTCCTACTCTAATTCAAGGTCCTACTCTATGTTAAGTCTTGAGACGTCATTGGTAGAGGGCTCGTTTGAGCACGCTTATCAAGAACGGACCCGTAAATCAACTATATTATGGGTAGGTCGAGTTTAAACATATGCATGGAGATTGATGGGCGGGTCGGGTTGGATTGGAAGGGGGGCGGGGGGTTCGAGGCATGAGGGGCGAAAGGGACCGTGGATTATTCGGCCTTGAAAGAAGAAAAAAGATTCGTTGGAATGAGATTCCAATTCCAAATTCCAAATTCCCTCCATGGAACACGAATTTGGTTTTTGCTTTGTGAAATGGGATCGATTCTGGCACCAAATGAACGGAAGGCCTCTGCTGTTTGTGTAACCAAATTTGTTTATAAGCCCTCCCTCCCTCCCTTCCCCCACCCATTTGATCTCACAAGCTTGGAATAATAATAATAATAATAATGTACCATCATCATCATCAGCATAATAGAGGGAAGAGCATCCATTCCTCTGACACCCATTTGTTTCTTCAACCTGGGAATGCAGCTGCTGGAGCTGGAGATTCATCAGGCCTTGTTCTTTCCACCGACGCCAAGCCCAGGCTTAAATGGACTCCTGACTTGCACGATCGCTTTGTTGAAGCTGTCAACCAGCTTGGAGGGGCTGACAGTGAGCACGCCCACTTCGTTTCATTTCTTAATTACTTTTCTCCTTTTCCACTCATTTCATTGCATCCTCTCTCTCTGCAGAGGCCACTCCTAAAACTGTCATGAAAATCATGGGCATTCCTGGCCTTACCTTGTACCACTTGAAAAGCCATCTCCAGGTACAATATATTATACTACTTTTTAATTATTTACTCGACCCACTTATTCGCTCAATCCAACTATAAAATTTTTGAGTTTGATTCGACCCAACTCAACCGAGTAGTGGATTAGGGTGTTCAAATAATCACATTTGTTGAACATCTGTGGTAATTTGTGAACGTAACCCAACTCAAATGGTGAATTAGGTTGGGTTAATCGGGTTTTTCATATCATCCTGGTATAATATTTGTAGAAATTTGTGGTTGAAAAGTGGTTATTTGAATTGAATGGGGGATTTAAGATTGATGGGGGGTTTTTGGGATGCAGAAATATAGGCTGAGTAAGAATGTACATGGACAAGCGAATGGTGAAGGAAATGGAAGCAACAAAACTGGTAAGTAACAAAATGATTATATTATATTATTTGTGGTTTTAATTTATGAACTGAGTTGAAATAGATATGGGTTGGCGTGTAGGGACAGTGGCGGCTGTTTACGGCGATCAAAGACGGGCAGCGGAGGCAAATGGAACAGCCCGCACCAACAACATAGTGGTCGCCCCACAGCCCTCCTCCCACCCCAACAAGTACGCGCCCACTTTCAGAATACCCTTATTTTAACGTACACAAATGCGTGCATGCTAGTTCTTATTATAACTATTTACTCCCCTCTCCAGAAGCCTTCAGATCAGTGAAACAATACAGATGCAGATTGAAGTCCAGAAAAGGCTGCACGAGCAGCTCGAGGTACTTAAATCAACGTTCATTTTATTAGGAATTACGATTTTTCAAATGGTATCATATTGTCCACTTTGACTATAAGCTCTTATGGTTTTACTTTGAGTTTCTCCACAAAAAAAAAAAAAAAAAAAAAAAAAAAAAAAAAAAAAAAAAAAAAAAAAAAAAACGTACTAATTGAAATGTATTTCCTTANTTAAACATAAACATAGGTACAACGGCACTTGCAGCTGCGAATAGAAGCACAAGGGAAGTATCTTCAAACAGTGCTGGAGAAAGCACAAGAGACACTAGGAAGGCAGGACTTGGGGTCAGTGGGTCTTGAGGCTGCAAAAGTGCAGCTCTCGGAGTTGGTCTCCAAGGTCTCCACTCAATGCCTAACCGCAGCGTTTCCAGAGCTCCAACAAAGTCAAAGGCTATGTCCTCAACAAACGCAGCCCCCTGACTGCTCCATGGACAGTTGCCTGACCTCCTGCGAGGCCTCCAAGGACCAACAACAACAAGTCCTTCTCCATAACTCCCAACACGCCCTCCGACCGAAAGCCATCGCCACCGACCATCATGGGCTGTCCATAAGCATTGGGCTGCTGCAGGGGGACAAGGGCGGGGAAGGGGATAATGGGTATTCCCCCTCGTTTGGGAGTAAGAAAAAGGAGGGTGAGGCGGCGTTTAGATATAGAATGGCAGCTTCTTTTTTGGACTTGAATGCTGGTGAGGATCAACAACTTAGTAATAATGATCATGCGGCTTCTGCTACTTGCAAGATGTTTGACCTTAATGGCTTTAGTTGATTCACTTGTTGTCCTTGTTATATATATACATCTTTATATAAATTGGGAGTTACATACCTGCACTTTAACAAATCTCGACCGTACCGGTTTTTGTTCTAAAAACACCATTCAAGTCGAGGAAAAATAACTCATATGACACAAACTAGAAAGTGAAGCGTGAGTGGTACCCATAAGGTCATGTGAGAGACGAGAAAGACGAGTACTATAGGTGACCGAACAAGATAGTGTATCATCTACTACACAAAGAAGAGTGAGCAAGATTGTCAAGTTAAGATGTGAGCAAGACTAAAGGTAATAGCGTTATCAAGATTGTCATAGACAAGTTTAGACAAGTTTAATGGGACAAAGTGGAGGCTTGGGCCATAACCTAAAAAAACAGGGTTTCAACAAACAGCATTAGAGTTAAGTTATAAGCGAAATATGAAAGTGTGCAACCACATGGCACAAGCATGTCATGATGTGAGTGAGCGTTATAAGACAGATATTTTAGGCATCTTCCTTTATGAATGAGTTTTTCAAGGACATTATTCGGTGGCACAGGTGAGCCAATGTTCCACCTCATCCCTTGAGTGGGATGTTGAAATATAAGGTCGGGTGGCACAATATGTAAAAATGACACAGGAGGGTTCATGTGTCAGCAGTACTCATGTGGGTGGATGTCCAAGATGTCCCAATCATAAATTTGACTCATAGGTTGGCTCTCAATAACCGTGTCCAAAAGAGTAGTGTAGGTGGACGACATCCCAATAAGCACGTATGAATTTAACATTTGATAAAGGTGTTTAGATTATAAAACTCTCTATTGATTATGTTCAAGAGCTCCATAAATTTCAGGGGTGGAGAAGGCTTATAATGTACTTTGTTCGAGGAAAGGATTATTGGGAGTGAGTCACGCATTGACGAATGTAAAGAATACATCTCCACATGAGAGCTTATGCTCAAAGTGGACAATATCATACCATTGTGGAGATCCGTGATGCCTAACAGATTAAGGGTAAAAATTTGTATATCGCAACGAGAAAGGATTGGACGATGTGCTAAAAGAGAAGACATTTGGATGGGAAATAGCATGAATAGTTTTGTCATATTGATTAAGCAGGAACATAAGCCAAAAATCGAGAATGCAGTCCAACAGGTGCAGCTATTATACCAAAGGAAGAAGTATTGGGCTTGTATATCCAAACCCTCTCCGCTCGACGTGCCAATTCACGGAAAGACGCCCAGGGACTAAGACTGATCAGAAACTGAATTTGATGTTCTGATGAAACGCCTCCAATACTGCATTGGTTTTCCTGCAATAATCAATTCAAATAAAATATTATACTATTATTCCAAAGAACACAATTCATAATATACAATCATCACCTGAGCGATAAGAACTATGTCCCCTGCATCATTGCAGAAGCGCGCCAATGAGGCCGTAACAGTAACCAAAACTGCCACAAAGACCACAACAACTTACTAAAACCATTTGGTTTCTGGAGTTGAGATATGAGTTATGGTAGATTACCATAGTCAAAACAATCCATGAACACGTTCAAAACAACGTTGAAGAAGTCGGAGGGAATGGAAACAAAGGTTGTGCAGTCAAATTCTTGGTCCATGTCCATCTCCCCAGTCCCAGGACAGAGTGGCAACTTATATAGCCGATAATTGTCTAAAAGCAAGCATTTGAAAGTATAGGCGTCATTAATCCAAGAAACAAAGGCTCAAGAAAAGGTACACTGTATTCTACTAACAATTTGAAGCTGGAGGACGGAATGTAAGGTGCGCGCAATCTGGCTCTGTAGAAGAGAAGAGCAATTCAGGAAAACCATTGCAATCCATTTCAGATAGAGTGAATTGCAAATCGTTCAAGAAAATCCATGCGTATTCAAGTTGAGAGGTGCAGGTATATGAGCGGAAGAATTGAGGGCGGATTTGGAGCGCCAGAACGGAGCGAGGGGAAGGTGGGAGGGCGGTGGCCATTATGGAGAACATTTGCGGTGAGAATTTGAGAACGCCTGTTGGAGCCTGGGTGGCTATCACGGAGGCGGCCTCCACAAACTCATGGATATCGTCAAGATTGAACATGAACATGGCGAATGGTAGTTGTGGGGTACGGGGTTTGATCAATTTCCTAATCTCTTAACCAACTCTTTGCCTTAATCTGCCTTTCTTTTATACTAAACCTCATCTTCTTGGATCAAGAATCCTTTCATTTTACCAATGGATCCATAGCGTACTGGTCTACTAGAGATGATTTTAGAAATACATTGTTCTAATTGTAATGATTTTTCTTAAAAGAAAAAAGTTGTTATTGAAATTTCGTTTTTTGAGAATATTTTGATTAATTTATTTCGAATATAAGTATTTATATTTTGTTAAATTAAATTGAGAAAAAGTATGGTGGGGAGTGACTAAGCGATGGCGCCACTATTTATACGTACTGTCTTTTGGGTCTTGGCTTCGCTACCGATTGTTTTTCCTTTGCAATCTGATGTTCTTCGGCCCTTCTTCCGTATTGATCCTCAAGCTCCGTGTTTTTCTGTTGCTATTTTTTGTTTGGTAATTTATTCCTGAAATCTACATCCCTGATTCCGCAATGGGTGCGAGTCGAAAGCTTCAAGGGGAGATTGACCGAGTTCTTAAGAAGGTCCAAGAAGGGGTTGACGTCTTTGACAGCATTTGGAACAAGGTTCGTTTTCACCACACACCCTCTCGCTTCCGGGAATGGAGCTGGGCGTCTAATTTTGGAGCTCCGTCTTCTTACCTTTTCTTGTGTGCCTCACTTCTAGGTTTATGATACCGACAATTCCAATCAGAAGGAGAAGTTCGAGGCGGATTTGAAGAAGGAGATAAAGAAGCTTCAGAGGTACAGGGACCAAATAAAGACCTGGATTCAGTCCAGTGAGATTAAGGACAAGAAGGTTTCTCTCTCTCTCTCTCTCTCTCTCTCTCTCTCTCTCTCTATTATGTCCTTCGTTCTCCAAGTTAGTGTGGAATCTGTGAGCTTTCAGTGGCACATTGACTCAAGAACGGCGATTGTTTTTTTTTTTTTTTTTTTTTTTTTTTTTTTTTTTTTTTTTTTTTTTTTTTTTTTTTTTTTTTTTT